ACCGCCGTCTCCTGCCCATAAGCGCCATGCTCCTGCCGCTGCTCCTGCCGCTGCTGCTGCTGCTGCTGCTCCTCATCACCGTCTGAGTGCAAAGTCTCCCTGCGCAGCAAACGGCGGGCCAAATTCTGCAACTGCGACGCTGGGCCCCGAGGTCCCCTAGGACTCGAGTAGGGAATCGACTGCAGCATTGATTTGACAAAATAATATGTTTGTCCGTCGAATATACGAAATAAAACATGTAGAATGCTTGTCGAGACTACGAAGATGTTACATATTTGTCTCGTAGACTAGACGAACAAAACATTATGGGGTAAGTAAACCCTGTAGTCGACCCCTGACTCTTTGTGTACTGACAAAGACCAGCCGCACGCGTACTCGCCTGTTTAAAAACCCTGCGGCCAGCGAGGGAGACGCTATTCGACCCAGCTCCGCAGATCGCGGGAAAGGTCGTCGTCGTCATCCGAATCGCTGGCAAAAGGGAGGCCTTGAAATTCCTCCCACAAGGCCGATACAGCCTGGGAAACAGGAGGCGAGAGAAACTCCTGCCCCGACCACCCCGCTCCCACGTCCGACCCACTCCCAACCCCAGAGGACAGAGGGAGCGAGGGAGGTGGCGGCATGCTAGCCATCTCAGCGAGCCTCCTCTTCCGCAATAAAATTGGAGGCCCCAGAAACAAATTCGATTTGTTGGGGTGGCAGCCCTTCAGCAAGTTCTGATGGCGATACTATCGATATCGAGAATCCTTGACTTGCGCGCCAAGCCTCCGATGACTGGCCAGGCACTCGTCCGAAAGTCCCTGGCTGCGTTTTTCAGAGTAGGTCCCGCACAAGGAACAGAACAAAACAGGCCCCGCGCGATGCAATGAATGCATGCCAGCTCGGTCCTGGCACTTGAGCTTCCGCAGCGAGAGACGGCCCTTGGCCGAACGGAGGCACACCATGCATCGATAGCGACGGCCACAAAACGTGACGGCATGATCAAAACGCGAGTGCGGCCGAGGCGGGCCGAAACCACCCGGCTGCGGGCACTGACTGGCATAGACTGGGCAGGGGACCATGCGCTCTCGCAACCTCTTTCAACTGAGAGCCAAGCGAGCAGAGCCCCCACCCACATCGCCTGAGGCGGCCAAACTGCCCATGCACACCCGAACCATCTCCGAACACGTGCACGTCGGGTAGCAGATCGGGCGGACGCAGGGTCCAAACCACACGCTCCTCGAGGCAAAGGCTCGGAAACAGCCAGGGCGGATCAGGGACAAGGAAACGGGTCCAAATCAGCGAGCGGTCGGCAGTCTTCTTAGCCAACTCTAGCATCTGACTGGCCAGCTCGAACCCAGCCTTGGAATCCCGACGATATTCGGCGTGCACAGGACAGTCATAAAACCGATGCCAGGTGGAGCCTGCGCTCCTGCGCGCAAGGCACTCTGGGTTGACAGCTCCACCAGCTTCATACAACCTCTCTTGAGACCAAAAACCGCCCGCAAACAGGCACTTGAGGAGCCCTTGATGCTTGGGGGTCCAATCGGGGCCTTTGAGCTGAGCGAGGCAGGAAGGACGAGGGCCCTCAGAGGCTCGAGGAGGGGGGGGGATACGGGCACAGCGAGGCCCATGACGCATGCTTCGCCAGCACCTGCTGCCAGATCCAGCGCTCGGTAGCCTCATCAGCTAACCGACCAACATCCCTCGGTGACATTTTCCCAATGAGGATGGGACCCCTGTGGGTCAACCAGCGGAACGGGTCTAAAAATGCCCACCCAATCCTCACCATCGCGCCCACAAGGGCCGAGGCGGGGCCACGGATATCGGACCAAACCATGTCCTCAGGAAACGCCAACAAATGAGCCCAAGCCCCGCTCAGAAGACGCGCCATGTCGGATCTCACCGCCCAACCATCCCATAGAGCACACATCCAGAGTAGAATGGGCCCACGATTGCACTCGTAGGCTGGGTCGACCTGGCGGCCTGCGATCATGAGATCAAGCGAAAGAGATCTGCCAGTGCGCCTATGCACAAAACCAGCACGCGCAAGCTGCCGAGCCCGCACCCCGAACCATAGTAGTATGACTGATGCCGTGAAACCCGACACCCCATAGCATGCCCGGCTTGAGGCCCGTCTGGACCAGTTTGAGCGTTTTGCCCCCGGCTTTGGCCAATCGTTTATACCTGGGGACTCTGGGCGCCATCTTGCCCAAGCGCTTCCCACGAACAGCGTGGAGCACGCGATGGCCACCACCAAAATCTAAACCCAGGTTCCGCACCGAGCTGGTCAAGAACTTGGCCGAAGACGGGTCCACCTTGTGAACGACACACCGAAGGTTCTGACCGACGACCGCCTGGTGCTTCTTGGGGAGGGAAATGCTGAGCCCGATCTGACTCAGCTCAGAGGTGAGGAGGTCCTCCGCACCTTTAAGATCGCGAGCGACTTTCCAAGCATCCCCAACCCTCTGCAGCTGCAAATCATCAACCACAATAGCGAGATCGACCGACGTAAACCGCTGAACATCGGCATCAGCAGGGGATAGAAGCACGAGGCGCAACAACGACGTAGCACAACTGCAACCAACGACAAACGTCCTATTGGTCGAAACCACCTCAGTCGCGATCCTGTCAAACAACACCATCCTGTCCAAGCTGTAAGTGGCCAGGAGGAAGCGTAACGTTTTCCCCGAGGACAGGTGCCTACGGGCGGCAGCAGCGAGCACATGATGAGGCACGTGTTCGTAAGCCTTGACCAGGTCTAAGAGCAACGATCCTGCTGCCTTGCCCTGGTCCCGAGCCAATTCCGCCTTGAAGCTCTGCTTCCACACGCAAATATCGCAGGAAGCGCCCGAACCTCCAAACCAAAACCTCCGAGGATGACCGAACTCCCAGGGGCCAGCAACTTTCCAGCGGGCCCACCTGGACCACATCCTGAGGGGAGACGGGAATATACCAATAGGCCGATCCCCTCCGTCTGGCGGTGGCTTGGGCAGAAGAGCGATGAGCAGTAGTGCCCAGCACCTGGGCACGTGGAAAAGGCGCTGCATTTGCTCCCAGATGCACAGGAATACTGCGACGGCGCCTTCGTCGAGAAACGACCAATGCCGGGGATGAAACCCACATGCCCCAACTGCCGTATGC